AAGACCTTGTAACTCTGGCAATGATTGAAGCATAGGACAATCATTGATTATCAAAGTCTCAAGAGATGCAAGACCATGTAACTCTGACAATGATTGAAGCATAGGACAATTTGTGACTTTCCGAAGAAGTCTTGGAAAAGAAGTCACCATATCACATTCTTTGATTTCTACTAGTTTCACGGTAGGAAAGAGAGGGGGCAATTTGATCAATTTGGGACAATCATAGATGCGAAGGTTTTCAAGGCAAGGAAATTCACCTTCTTCTCCCCACCATTCCTTCAAACCACTCATACATGAGAGAGAGAAAATCTCCAGCTTTGGAAATCCCAGCTTCTTATTGTTGTTATCACCATATCCATAAAATTCTTTTCCTATATGTTCCACTTCCTTCATTTCAGATATATGCAATACTTTGAGCGAGGGTAGATTTCCAAAAGGAGGGAGCAATTTGCACTTGTTGCAATTCCTTAGTTGTATTGTGGTCAACATATCATAGCACGCGATCATCATCATCATCCATTTTGGAAAACTTATGCCACCATAATTAACTATTTGGAGTTCCTTCAACCCCATGTGTGGTTTCAAGCCCTCTACTACACCCTCCATGCTACCTCTTTCATTTTTATCATTCCATTCCAACTCCAACCTATCAATCCGATGCTTATCGAAGAGGTTAGCCTCCTTGGCCTCCTCAAAGTCAGCCACCTTCTCTAGCCCCCTAATACGAATACATCCTTGGAGATGACGTAATTCTTTTAGCTCTCCTATTGTACTTTTGTTGCCATTGCTCTTTTGCATGATCACCTCAAACTTACTTAATGTCCTCAAAAAATGTAATCTCCCAATTCCTCTTATTGGTTTGAAAACATACCACCTGTCATCTCCCATCACTATGTATTGGAGGTTGATTAGGTTTCCCATGTGTATAGGAAATTCAATGAGACGTCTACAATTTTCAAGCATCAAAACTTGCAAATGGTAGAGGTTGCACAATGACTCAGGTAACACTTTAATGCCTGTCCTGTTGAGGTTAAGCAACCGTAGATGTTTTAAGTTGCCAATTGAATTTGGCAAATTGACCAATTCATAATTTTCACTCAAATCCAGTACACGTAGGCATCGGTTTTGTTCAAATAAGTCACCTAGGATATGCCCATCCCTTGTTGACGGCAAAATCAACAACAAAGTTGACAATTCCTTGAATTTACATAATTCCTTCTCCATTGCGTACTGATCTGGTTGGAAGTGAAACATTGATACGTAATGAACCATTTTAAGATTGCCACTGTTGTTGTGATGCGATTTGCCCTCCTCCATCCTAAAATACATGCCTGCCGAAACCGACTCTGCTAAGTCATGCATCAGATCATGTATAACAAATCTGTTTACAGATTTAGAGTACTTTTGAAAAAAGGACCGATTGAACAAGTCATCAAAGTATTCGCCTCCAAGGTCTTCTTCCAGAATGTTAATTCTCTTAGATGAAACAAAACCTTCTGCTATCCAAAGCTGGACTAGAGTTTCCTTATCAAATTCATGGTCTTTAGGAAACAAAGAGCAATATGCAAAGCATAATTTTAAATGTGCTGGCAAGTAATAATAACTCAAACGTAGAGCTGACATTGTTGTCTCCTCTGCTTCAACCTCCCACATCTTACTTTCTAAGACAGATTTCCACCTTTTCGCATCCAGATCATCGTATAGAAGTCCTCCTATTGATTTCACTGCTAGTGGCATTCCTCTGCATTTTTTAACAATTTCCTGTCCAATTTCTTTCAAGCTTGGATGTTTATCACAGATTTTGTCATCAACAAAAGCCTTCCTTTTGAATAATTTCCAGCAATGTTCATCTGGCAAGGTTTCCAAATCAATTTTTTTTATGGAGCTCATAATAGAGGAAACTCTATTAATCCGAGTGGTCACTATTATTCTGCTTCCTTTTTCTGCTGCAACATTAATTGGGACCCTTACCGCATCCCACGTTCTGCGGTCATCGCTCCATATATCATCAAGAACAAGTAGAAATTTCTTTCCCTGTAACCATTTCTTGAGTTCTTGTTGAAGTGGTTCCAGTCGTTCCAATGGTGGTTGTCCATTGGATATCGACTCAAGAATTGATGTAGTTATTTTTGTAACATCAGAATCTTGGGAAACACATACCCATGCTCTCGCATCAAAATGCTTAACTACGTTTTCATCATTGTAAATGAGTTGAGCCAGAGTGGTCTTGCCAATACCCCCAGTACCAACTATTGAAACAACAGGAACTTTTTCCTCATAGTTTTTATCAGATAATAATAGCTCTTTTATATCATTTGCCTCTACCCTCCTACCAAAAATTCTACCATCAACTAAGGAAACATTCTGAGGGCGTGAATCTAGTGATGAAACTATGTTGAGTTTCTTTCCCTTTTCATTGGGATTCCTTCCAACGGATGAGACTGAACTCGCATAGTCGTGGTTCATCTTTTGCTGAATCTCATGCATCTCATTTATGATGCCAGTTATGACAGAAGGAATCTCATGGCGATGTAAAATTTCTCTCATTGAGAGAATAGGAGAAGTATTCGCAGCGTACCTTTTTGATAGCAGCCCTCGAAGTGCAGATCTGTTTACTTTCATCATCATCCTCCTCCTCCTCAAGAATTTTCCGTTGAACAGCTTCGTAGATGAACTCGTCCAATATACAAGTGGCTTTGTGAACAACTTCTCTCATGTGTTTGAGTAGGAATTTCAAGCGTGGATCACTGATTTGCATATCCTCTGTAGAACTGGCCATTGCATATGCGCCCTGGAGTGTTATACAGAGGTTATCCCGCTCTTGGTCAACACCCCAGTCAGATCCGAATTTGATCATCCAAGAGGAGTTCAGTTTATTGAGCAACGCCTGAAGCAAAGGGGATACCACCACATCTTCTGTTGTTGCCATATCTTAGTTGCCTTGAAATTTGGTGGATGAAGAAAATGAAGATTACCGGCTGCTGGTTGCTTTTGAGACGATAAGTATGCAGTTGAAAATTGAAAGGATTACCCCTTTAATTTTAAGGTTCATATTAATCTCACACAACAATACAATTCATTCCTCGAAGTTTCCCTTTGTTTAACAATTAAAGAATCCCCAATCGTTGAATTGTCAAAGCAAGATCAAAACTATGACTTGTTAGTTTTGCAATATAGTTACTGTCTGAAAAGTAAAAGTTAAGAAGTAACATTAGTCCAAAATCAAGCCCAAGGCTAAAAGCAAAATATAAGAAGTTAAATTTGCTTTTAAGTCTTTACTTTTTGATATTTGACAGTCATTATTGGGCAACAACTTTCCATTATAATGAGAAAGATTGGGCTGCTCAAAGGCCCACCATGTGCTGTTGATACTGATAGATTGAATTTCGGTGAGCTTCTTCCTTTCACACCACACATTTCCTGAATTCCTGATAGACAATCAAACCGTATGGAACCTAGAATTACATACCCAGATGAATTTTTCCAAGTGTACACACTAGTTAAAGCACATTAATAGTGGGAATTAATGACCATGTGAGACTGTGTAAACCCAACTCTACTATTTTTTTTAGAAAGAAGAAATAGGTGGTCAATTAATGACCATGTGACTCTGATACCTTCACATGCTTCACAAGCTCCGAGTCATATATTTATTTTTTTCAATGTCCAATGGTACGACATATATGGCTAGCTTCACCTTTACATCTAAGGCTTGATTCTCACCCTCGCTGGAATGTTCATGACTGGATTGATTGTTGGTTCTCCATTGATACACCTAATTCTACTGGGCCTAATCTATCTAAATGTGTCATTATCGTTTGGGTGATTTGGAAGAATATATGTAAATTGGTAATGGAGGGTTGTACTTTTGATCCATATTGGATTTTACTTACCATTCAAGCTTCTTTGCAAGATTTGGATATGCTAACAGATCAAAGACCTCCACGTCCATTGCACCTATCCCAGTCAAAGTTGGAGCAAACCCCCTAGCGGTTGGCTTAAGGTAAATTTTGGTGGTAAGGGGTGTTTATGGGTCAGGTTGGGTCGGTTTGAGTCGTTTTCTTCAACTGATCCGATATAGTCAGTTTACTTATTGACTAAACTGAAATCGACTGACCCTAAATCAAAACTAACCCAAACATGAAGGGTTGATTTATCGGTTTAGTCGACTTTTATATATATTTTACTAAAATATCTATTTATATTTAATTTTATTTTTTTAGTTTTTATGCAAAATCAGAATATATATTGAAATCAATTAGTTTTTTATACAAAACTGATTTTTTTGTTAATATATATTTAAATTTATACAAAACTGAATTAAATATCGTACCATTGTATTATATTTGTATTGGCTTTACGTTTTAGTTTTTGTCATAAATAACCAATTTTTTTCAAAGTTCAAACAAAACATAAATAAAATATATCAACATTTAACATATAGGGTAAGGGACTAATTAATAATTACTTAAACATATAAGATCAGTTCGGTTCGGTTTGGCTTCAGTTTTAATGTATGAAAACTGAAACCGAACTAAATTGTCAGTTTATTTTCTCATACAAACTGAAACTGACCGGTGGTTTTGAAAAACTGACCAACTCAAGTTGGGTCGGGCCAGTTTGGTCATTTTGGCATTTAATGTGAACACCCTAGGTGCCTCTTCAACTCATAAGTCCGTAGTAGATCAAATATCTCATAATGATAGCACATCAGAAAATCAGATATCTCAGAAGGTAAATTAACTTCCAATTTTCGGCCCCATCTAGTTTAAGTTGTTCTCTCTTGCGTCTTGTGTGAGGGATTGGTGTCCTGGATCCTATTTTGTGTGGCTGCAATTATTTTCTCTTTATTTGCAGGTTTGGAGCGCCCAAGTATCAGCTGTCCATCTCTGCATCTCCATGTGCCATCATTGGTATCAAAGCGAGGTTAATTGAGTATTTGGTATAGTTGTGCCACATTGAATTGCATCCCATCTTTTAAGCTTTAGAAAGGGAGAGGAGAGAGAAAACAACCCAGTTGGACGGTTTCCTCCTATCCCCATTGAAACTCTATTCAACAATCTCTCTACAACTGCATAGCCACTGAATCCATTGTTCTTCTTCTTGGAGTAATCAGAAGAGCTTGATCTGTGTTTCTATAAACACCAATGCCTACTTCATGCAAGAAGCCCTTGTTTAACAATTTCCTCGCAAAGTCCATTCGAGCCGCAGACCACAACTTCTTCCGCCCTCTTTTTTCATTCAAGAACCGACGTTGACTTCAATCCAACTAGGGCTATCTGCAATGCCATCATTCACATGCATTCGGTTCCAATCATTTAATCACTGCAAAAAAAAACATATATTGGTGATTTGCTTCGGCCAAGGATACAACCAAGGTTTAAAATATCGTAATGTATCAGTCGTATCGGCTGATACGTACCGTTCCGATAAGAACCCAATACACAAAACGTGTATAAATCATCTGTTTCATTTTTTTTTGTATGTATCGGCCGATACAGGCCCGTATCGGGCTATTTTGGATATGTATCAGTCAATACAAACCCGAAACAGGTTGATACAAACCTAATCATTTCAGTTCCCCTTCTTCCATTAATTTGGTTAATTTCTATTTAATACCAAATCTCTTTCATTAATGTAGTTTCTTACTCCTATATTTATGTCTAACTTCTCCTTCATTAATTATTTCTATATTTAAAGAAGATTTAAATTCAAATTTTAATTTTAGTGCCTAATTCCAATTCGATTAATTAATGATCTTCTCTCTCATTAATTCCGTTTGCTTAGTATAAAAACTACAAATGTTAACAATAGCAAGACTTAAACCTTGGTCACTAGATTTTAAGGCCCATAACTTCGCCACTAAGCCACTACGATTTATTTGTTACAATTATATACATTTTTAGTTTTAAGTAAATTTCATCATTTCCTAGTGGTGCTTATTAATAAATGCTGAAATTAATTATTAAAATTTATATACTTATAAATATTAAGATAAATTATATTGATTATTTGAAAATTGATGTATATACATTCACATTTTAGTTTTTTTTTTCTTTTATCACATTGTAGTTATTCCATCACTTTTCAACGTTTATTAATTATATATTGATATGTTACATTTTATATAAACATTAAATTATGGCTTTTTACATTTAAATGACTTATTTACAATCATATAAAACTTGTAAGTATTGTTACTGATATATTTTTTTGATTTATTTGAATTTCCTATCATATTTATGCGTATCTTGATTTTTCGTCCATATCCATGCGTATCTAAAACGTATCTCGATACATTTCTTAAAATTGTCTTTCCGATACACCTTGCGTTTCTGATACTTTGAACCTTGGAGGCTTGGATACAACTACAACTCATTCACAAATCTGAATTTTAGGTAAAGAAACCCTAAGTAAATCTGGGTTTTTGATCCTATACACATCTAATAGTAAGATTTAGTCATCCTGGAGATTTGATTGCTGGAAATCAGCTCTAAATCCAAATCGGGTCAAACCCTACCCAAAGCTGAGAGCTAGTCAATACATGTCTGCTATCGGCCAGCACTTCGAGTAAGTCGATTAGAAGGAGCAATGGGAGTTGGATAGATTAAATTTGCTTGTTGGTGACAATATTTAAGATGAATTGAATAACTTGAGCAGCAGAGAATCAATTAGCAATTTTTTTGAGCATAAACAGCTAAGTGCTCTCTTCATTTACTTTGTTTTTTTATATAGCCTCCGAACTTGAACAACAGCCTCGTAAATACAACCATTTGCTATCTTCATTTACTTTTGCAATACTCTTTTCCATGTTTGCTACTGCCTTGTCCCACGAGCTTAGCAATACTAAGAAATTGAATGGCACCAATTATGCTCTTTGCAAATGTAGGATATTAGGAGGATATTAGAAGAAGAGAATGTTGATTATATATTAGATATGTCTGTTCTTACTAAACCTACTAATGATGATGCATTAACTATAATTTGTGAATATCAAAAATGGGAAAAGGACGATCTCGGACCAAGTTGGGACCATGTTTGCGGACTTCTCCCCTTTTGGGATTGCAGGCCAATTTCAGACCAAGCTGGATTTGGCTATTAAGGTTGGCAGCTATTGCAGACATTGGCCAAGTCATTCTTTTGCTGGCACTTAGGTGGAGTGATGGATGTACTGTGGGCATCATGTGCATGAGGCCAGGCTGGGGAGTCAGATCTTCAAGATGGATGCAGTCGTTCATAGTCAGACTGGGCCCTATGACTGTCTGCATGGCGCCTTTTGGGGTCCTCAATGTGAGGATCAATGATAGTAGGTGCTTGTGTGGCAAGGCGAACGGCTTGGTGCGTGAGCTTGTTTCCCTAACATCCTTATCATGGCTAGGTTGCAGTCAACTTTTTGCTGCATGGCTTGGAATTGCATGATGTCGACTACAACTTGATGCTGGGGCTCTCGAGGTGGAGAGCTGCGAAGCGAGCGGGATCCCCAAGATGGGGAACCGACTCCAAAGCGGTCGTATGTGTTTTTGGGCATGGTTGCTTCAAGTGCATGGAAGGGTGTTAGGGAAATG